CTAACAAAGATCTTCAACACATCCACTGAAACTGGGCAACTCCCTGAGGTATGGAAGATGGCAAATGTAGTCCAAATTTTTAAAAAAGGAGACAGACATTAAACTACAGACCTGTGTCACTAATGTGTATAGTATGCAAAGTCATGGAGAAGATCAGGAGGAGAGTGGTGGAGCACCTGGAAACAAACAAGTGTATAATTGACAACCAGCACAGTTTCAGGGAAGGAAAATCCTGTCACAAACATACTGGAGTTTTATGACAAGGTGACAGAAGTAAGACAAAAGAGAGGGGGTGGATAGACTGCATTTTCTTGGACTGCAAGAAGGCCTTCAACACAGTTCCTCACAAGAGGTTACTGCAAAAGCTAGAGAATCAGGCACACAAAACAGGAAAGGCACTGCAATTGATCAGAGAATACCTGACAGTGAGGCAACGAGTCATGGTACGTGACAAAGTGTCAGAGTGGGTGCCTGTGACAAACGGGGTTCCACAGGGGTCAGTCCTAGGACCTGTGCTGCTTTTGGTATATGTGAATGACATAACGGAAGGGATAGACTCAGAAGTGTCCTTGTTTGCAGATGATATGAAGTTAATGAGAAGAATCAAATCGGTCGAGGATCAGGCAGGACTACAAAGAGACCTGGACAGGCTACAAGCCTGGTCCAGCAACTGGCTCTTTGAATTTAACCCTGCAAAATGCAGTCATATAGATTGGGGAAGGGCAAAGACTGCAGACACAGTATAGTCTAGGTGGCTAAAGACTGCAAACCTCACTCAAAGAAAAAGATCTGGGGTGAGTATAACACCGAGCACATCTCCTGAGGCACACATCAATCAGATAACTGCTGCAGCATATGGGCGTCTGGCAAACCTAAGGATAGCGTTCCGATACCTCAGTAAGGAATCGTTCAAGACTCTGTACACCATTTATGTCAGGCCCATACTGGAGTATGCAGCACCAGTTTGGAATCCACACCTGGGCAAGCACGTCAAGAAATTAGAGAAAGTGCAAAGGTTTGCAACAAGACTAGTCCCAGAAGGGGACTGTCCTATGAAGAAAGGTTAAGGGAAATCAGCCTGACGACACTGGAGGACAGGAGGGTCAGGGGAGACATAACGACATAAAATACTGTGCGGAATAGACAAGGTGGACAAAGACGGGATGTTCCAAAGATGGGACACAGAAACAAGAGGTCACAATTGGAAGTTGAAGACTCGGATGAATCAAAGGAATGTTAGGAAGTATTTCTTCAGAGTTGTCAGGCAGTGGAATAGCCTAGAAAGTGACGCAGTGGAGGCAGGAACCACACATTGTTTTAAGATGAGGTTTGATAAAGCTCATGGAGCGGGGAGAGGACCTAGTAGCAATCAGTGAAGAGGCGAGGCCAGGAGCTGTGACTCGACCCCTGCAACCACAAACAGGCGAGCACAAATAGGCGAGTACACACACACACACAAACGTACTTGTTATTCGCCAAAAGATATGATCTGTTACTCATTAGAAAACCGTATCTGTCAGTTATTCGGCTAAAGAACGTATGTTACCTATAGAACATATTAGTTAATCACTGGTCAAAAGAACGTGCCTGCTAATCACTGGTCAAAAGAACGTGCCTGCTAATCACTGGTCAAAATAACGTGTCTGCTAATCACTGGTCAAAAGAACGTGTCTGCTAATCACTGGTCAGAATAACGTGTCTGCTAATCACTGGTCAAAAGAACGTGTCTGCTAATCACTGGTCAGAATAACGTATCTGTTAATAACACCAAAAGAGTGTTTGTTAATCACACTACAAGAACATATTTGTTGATCACACTAGAATAATGTATTTGTTAATCCTTCATCAGAAGAATGTGTCTGTTATTCACTGGTCAAAAGAACGTATCTGTTAACCATTCGCATAAAGAAAGTATCTGTTAACACTCGACAGAAATCAGGTTTTCACTTTTCCTTCCTGTTATGTCAGCTACAAGCACGCGACCCACAACAAAATCCACAAATCTGTGGAGTTGTCGCCCGCTCTGAACCTTGATTAAGTCCCAAGCTTAGACTTCATTATGGCCCATGACGGAGGGAGTCTTCATTTAACGTTTCCTTTCGCAGTTATGGGTTAGTAAGCCACGTGTTTTCACGTTACGTGGCTAAGCCATCACTCATGGCTTGCCTCTCTCCAGGCTGACTTCCCGCAGTCAGAGGAACAGGCCATTAGTCTGTGTTGGGCTGAGGATAACCCCATTTGTCATTCTAAACGAGGAGAGAGTTGTAACAAGCCGCGTTTGTGGCTTGCTTGAGTTGCATTTAGACTGGCTTGCTCGTCATCAACTGCATCAGTGTGTTGTATTGTTTGGCCACCAGTACCCGCATGTGTGTTACACTCAACCGTGTTTGTCAGTAACCATCTTTGTGTTGTACTCAACTTTGGCCACCATCAACCGTATCAATGTTATGTTCAACTTAATCTGGGTAGCATCACCCGCATCAGTGTTATATTCAACTTAGTCTGGGCAGCATCAACCACATCAATGCATGTTCTTCACCGTCAGATTCAGGACGGTGTTAATTACATCAACGTTTCAATAACTTTTGTTAATAATTTAACAATATACCCCGATCTAACTGCATAACGTTTAAACAAATTAGCTAAAACACACACACACACACAACAGGCCTAGTGTCTAATCAACATGTGCCTAGGACAAAATGGTAACTAACACAGTCTGGTGGCAGAAGGAGGTGGTGTGTTTAATGTCTTTCAAACACTGACCTGTAGCTGTGTAGTAGAGCGTTCGGCTAACAACCAATGACACCCGGGCTTGATGTCCAGGCTGGTTGAAAATTATGAACATAAGAATATATGAAAGAAGGAACACTGCAACATGCCTACTTGCCCATGCGAGGCAGGTCCTGACCTTGTCAGGTCAGGTCATATTCACTTAAGGAAGGAGCACGGCATCTGACCTAGTAGCACAAGCTAGTCAGGTCCAACTCACACCCACTCATGTATTTATCTAACTTATTTTTAAAACTACACAACTTAGCTTCTATGACAGTACTCGGGAGTTTGTTCTACTCATCCACAACCCTATTACCAAACCTGTGCTTTCCTATATCCTTCCTGAATTTGAATTATTCCAACTTAAAGCCATTGCTGCGAGTCCTGTCTAGGTTAGATATTTTTAGCATGCTATTTACATTCCCTTTATTTATTCCTGTTTTTCATTTATACACCTCAATCATATCCCCCTTAATTCTATGCCTTTCTAGAGAGTGCGGATTCAGGGCCCTCAGTATCCTCACAGGGAAGATTTCTGATGTGTTGTGATGAATGGTTTGAAAAACCGACAAGTTGAAGATTGAGACACTTATGCAGCATATGGGAATCTTTATTCAGGAAACGTTTCGCCACACAGTGGCTTCATCAGTCCAATACAAAGAGGAAGGCTGAGTGACTGATTACCTCATACTCCTCCTCTCCTTACGCCTTCCTCTTTGTATTGGACTGATGAAGCCACTGTGTGGCGAAACGTTTCCTGAATAAAGATTCCCATATGCTGCATAAGTGTCTCAATCTTCAAGATTTCTGATACATGGGATCAACTTTGTCATCCTCCTTTGCAAGTTTTCCAGTGCATTTATATCCATTCTGTAATATGGTGACCAGAACTGTGCAGCATAATCTAAATGAGGCCTAACCAAAGACATACAGAGCTGAAGAACAACCTGAGGACTTCATTTATGCTTCTTGATATGAAGCCAATGATCCTGTTAGCTTTATTGCGAACACTTTTGTACTGTTGTCTTGGTTTCAGATTACTGCTAACCAGAACTCCTAAATCCTTTTCGCGATCATTAATATTAAGATCTACATTATTTAGTTTATATGTGGCATGATTATTTTCCTGTCCAACATTTAGAACTTTGCATTTGTCTATATTAAACTGCATCTGCCGCTTCTCCGACCACTGCATCAGTCTATTCAAGTCTTCCTGCAATGCTCTGTCCTCATTAGAATGAAATGGACGGCCTATTTTGGTGTCATCAGCACATTTGCTCATGTCGCTATTTATTCCCTCACCTATGTCATTTATGTAAATTGTGAACAACAAGGGGCCCAACACTGACCCCTGTGGAACATAGCTTGCGACGTGCCCCCATTCTGATTTCTCCCCATTTCTGCAAACTCTCTGCTGCCTATTTGTCAACCATACCTCTACCCAGGAAAAAAATTCTCCTATTCCGTGTGCCTTAAGTTTCATCAATAGCATACGATGTGGAGCTATCGAAAGCCTTACTGAAGTCCATATACACAATACCATATTCAATACCATAATCTACCTCCTTTAAACCGCTGCCCGTGTTCAATTAGCAGTAGACACGTACATAGGGAGTATAATTGGAAGCGGTAGTATGCCTTAAACAGGACAGGGTTTAGGATTGATATAGAGTAGAATAACAGGTTCAAGCTTTAAAGTGAACTGCGTAAAATCTCCCACCGACGCTGTAACATAACTCGAGTATAAATGACCTAATGATTTTGCACTTGAGGGAGAAAGCTGATTTAGGATTTGTCTCATCAAGTACTGAGGCAGTTGACCAGCAGGTGTGGAGTTCTGCAACAAGGGTTGTATCAACCATGACCTGGTGGCCACCAGGCCACCAGGCCCGGTGGCCTGGTGGCTAAAGCTCCCGCTTCACACACTGAGGGCCCGGGTTCGATTCCCGGCGGGTGGAAACATTTCGACACGTTTCCTTACACCTGTTGTCCTGTTCACCTAGCAGCAAATAGGTACCTGGGTGTTAGTCGACTGGTGTGGGTCGCATCCTGGGGGACAAGATTAAGGACCCCAATGGAAATAAGTTAGACAGTCCTCAATGACGCACTGACTTTCTTGGGTTATCCTGGGTGGCTAACCCTCCGGGGTTAAAAATTCGAACGAAATCTTATCTTATCTTACCATGGAGCTGGTGGTTACATTAGTGCAGATTATCAACACTCACCTTCATTTCTTCCCTAACGATGGAGTTGCGATAGTTAAGGTCGGGTTGTTCAGCCAGGAACTGGTGGTAGTAAAACTGCTGACGTTCCTCGCTCCACTCCCATGCTGACCCTCGGAACACACTCAACTGGAAGATCACCATCCAGTTACTACTGTGCTCATCATATCTCATAGCTGAGTGGTGGTACGTCCAGCTCACAACTGAAGAACTGGGGTTCAATTCTTTACTAAACGAAACATGTGAGGAAGCCTCCTAATACTGGGTGACCCTGATAACCTATCACTAAGTAGGAACCCAGCAAAACTTTTGCACAATCAGTTCCTACTTGGTGCACAACTGTTTCTTAACCCGTAAACGGTTCAAACGTATATATACATTCTTACTGCAAGTGCCCCCAAACGTATATAAAATGTTCTATTTTTCCTGCCTTCAAATAGTCACGACTGGCCAAGATGCCTTGTCAGCACAGAATGGGACATAAACTCAGTGTGCACTGTATTCAAAAAAATCTGGGACCATTAGTACCTTGTGGGAGCACCAGTTTAAAATGAGCTCCACTAGAGCAAACAGCAACAGCAAACACCTGGGATTCACTGATTTCATGTAGTATTAACACTCCCATTTTAAGAGGAAAGTGATGCTGACCCCCCCGAAGTTTTAGTGGCTTTTGAGGTGGATGTGGCCATAATGGTCGAGGAAAATATCAAAAAACCTAGATAATAACCCTGCACAACATTTGTGCACACACTTTCAGAATGTCTTATAACCTAAGCCCTAGCGTAAAGAGAAACAATATGGGAAATGTAATACTTGTTCAGTATGCTGGTTGGCTGGCTGATTTAAGGTAGAGGATGAGTTGTCACCGAACCAAGGGCAGTGCTATTCAAACCAGGAAGACCTCATCCACTTCACCTGGATCAATCCGTTCACCAGTAGAGGAGAAAGACTTAGCTCCCACTGACTTCCCAGACGAGGTCACCGTTTGTTGACTATTGAACAAACATCGTAAAGCCATTGCCTTACTTACCAGGTGAGAAGATAGGTTATAACGTCAACTTATTGCCCATCGTATCCCACTTGAACCTGGTACTTAAGACCTATCATCATACCGCGTACAGAAATAGCCATCATTCACAAGTTGCTGTCGCAGAAGAAATGATAATCAAATGCTTGATGATGGAGAGTTATTGCACCGTAAGCAGATTCGCGCGCTTGGAACTCTGCGCCCTTGATCACTAGTACCCTAAGAAGGATGGTACTTTGGGCGCCCAGTTGAGTGACTTTAGGAAGTTAAATGCGACAAACTATTCCAGATCGCTTTCCCACTTCCCTTACTTGGTGATCCTTGATATGTAACATCAAAGATAGTCCTTTCTCGACCCTGAACTTGTTACAAGGGGTTTTGGGCAAAGTCCCTCTTCACGAGGACAGACCCCAAGAGCTAACTGCGTCACACACATCTCCTCTCCTACAGGACATTTTCATCGTCCTCCATATGGCCTTTGGATTAACGATCCTCCCTATCACGTTCTCAAGGCTCATGACTAATACATCTTTAGTAGTCTCCATCGGTAATGCAATTACTGGTGCACTTAGATGACGTAATCATCATGTCTAAAGACGTGAGATACACACTTAAAAGACTTGATGTAGTACTATGGTAAGCTTTGAAGAAGCATATTAAAGATCAAATTGTCCTAAATGGGTAAATTTTCGGATCAGAAATCACGTTTCTTCTGGGTCACGTAGTGACTCCTAGAGGGTTACTAACTGACCAATAGTCAAGTAAGGCGTGCAGTACTAAATTTTCCAACTCCCAAAAACTGTCCTGAATGCCTATAAGCCCTTTGTTGGGCTTAGCAGATTTTTTATAATCTCTTCATTGCCAATTTTTCTTCCATAGCTGCTCCATCTGAGTTGCTTAAGAATGATGCTTCCTTTCGTTTGGACCTTCGTCAAGAAAGAGCATTCCAAACTCTAAAAGAAAAGCTACAACTGCTCCAATTTTGAAATTCCAGATTTTTCTAAGCCCTTCTAACTGACAACTGATGCAGTTCTATTGGCATGGTCCACACAAAGCTCAAAGACTGATGGCAAGTACAACGCAGTTGCATTGCTAGCCGAGTCCTTATGAAGGCTGAACGTAATTATACAGAAACTGAGCAAAGAACTTTAGCAAAAGTAATGGTCCTTTAAAACACTTCCGAGACATTAATTTATTTTTATCAGGTAACCCTGTTCATGTCCTTGACAGACCATGCTCCTCTGATAACTTTATTCCAGAACAACAACCTACTGAAGGTTAGCGAGATGGACTTGAACTATCCAAGATTCAATCCTAACCTTTGAACACTATACCTGGCAACAGTCAAATGTAGTCGCAGATGCTTTATCGTGACAGCAAGCATAGTAACTGCAGACCCTCCATTTACTGCCAAGGATGTAAAGAATGCTCAATGACCAGATCCCATGTGGTCTGGTGTGATTTCAATTCCTGCTCCAGGAAGATCTTATTCTGACTGTGAAGGCCACCAGCACCCATCAGTGACTTGTCAATGAACCAAGACTTACTGTATCAAACACCGAGTTGGGTACTCCTAGCAGAAGAGTATACCAGTTAGTAATTCCACAGCCACTAGTGAATGTAGCCTTACAGCTAGTTCGATTCATACCAGGGTGCACAACACCTGGTACATCGTGTTCAGTAAAACAAGCCAGATTGAAATACTTTTGGCCTCGTATGTTAAGAAATGTAATGTCTGCATGCAACATAAAGGTAATGCTAATGGTCCTAATCCAATCCAAGTGTATCCAACTACTAGCGAACCGTGGGAAAGAGTTGCGCTAGATTTGTTAACTAATTTCCAATGTTCCCTCCAGGGTAACAAACATCTGTGTGTTATGGTAGACCATTTCACCAGATATTACGAGTTAGTTCCAATTGCAGATAAGACTGCCGAGACAGTAGCTAAAGCGTTTAAAGAACGCATTAACGCAGGCATACCACCCCTAAGTCCTTAGTAACAATAATGAGGTGAATTCTGTAATGAGATTCTTGAAAATTAGTGTACCTTGTACAAGATCCTAAATCCACCATTGTTCCTCAATCATCCTGCCAGCAATGGGTTAGCGAGAACGAACCATAAGAAAGTACTTGATGTCTTGAAGAGCCACTTTCAAGTCCCAACAGTGAAACTTGGATGGAAGTTATACCTGAATGTTCAGTGTGCCATAAATTCTGCTTACAATACTTCTATAGGTGACTCTCCACATTATGCATGGGTAAACGGTGTAGAAAACGTTTGCCTTATGATTGCTATATCCTAATCCAAACCAAAATTACAACCCTGATGATTTCATAGCAACTCGTACCAGCTTAGCTCAAAGTCTCTTTAGAAAAATCCGTAAAACACTTCATAAATCATCAGCAGAATTTACAGGAGTCGCAAACACTCGAGCAAAGCAGTCCAAAATCAAAGCAGTTCGAGATTTATGCTGGACTAACTTTAACAAAACGTCTGCCATGCCTAAGCTTGATCAAAAGTTGTTAGTTCCTTATCGAGTAGTTGAACATATCAATGGCAATAAGTATAAGGTTAGAGAAATTAGTACTGGTCAGTAAAGCGAGTCACATTTTGATCATATGAAGTTAGTATGTGATGATAATGATGTTCCAACCCAGACTAATGTGACAGACTGACAATCCTCCTGACTCTGTACCCTCTACCTCTAATACTCAGTCAGATGATCAGCCTGAACGTCGTTATTCCCATACGACATGACATGTATTGGGAGAAATCCTCAAGTATCATTTGTAACTAAACAATACAAGCTTGCCCAAAATACAGCACTAGTTGCCATGCAACAAGTTTGATTCTCCCCAAGATGGACACCCATTCTGCATATGGTCCAATCTCATTCAGCAGAGTTGGGGATTTAAATTTTAAATACCGTATAGATGAATATAATTACAGTATCAACTTATTAATAAACCAAGAATTTTTTTTGTGTTCACGTTCTCCACTCCAAATTCTGAGATTTAACAGTCCTAGATTTGAGTGCAGCAAGGTTCTGCCTTTTCTCTGTTAAACAACTTCTTCTTGTACATACCCTTCTCATAATCCGTAGATCACATGAATACCCAATCGATCGATCTAATTTTTTTTTAATCACCCTCTATTGTGTAATCTCCAATGTTGAGTCCCCCCATTGATGAGTTGTGCTATATCATACCTTGTAATTCATTACAGTTGTCATTTATAGTCAATTACGTTAGCTTCCATTCCAATAATTAATGTTATGTTAGTTATAATGTTCACTGTTGTGTACTTGACATTGTATAGAATCAGCCCAAGACTACCTATGCTGTCTCTAGGTTTTTAGCTGTACAATCTGGGGCATACATTAGCGTGCGCCGAGCGCTCAATAGTACACATCCCCAGTAGTACCAGTAACCCTTACCATTAGTATGACTCACTACCAACCCATTCTGTGTGAATCATCTGACTGTTATTCATGTTGCTGCCGACCATAGCATGTTATTTGAACGCCGCTCACACCTAGGACCCCCCCACTTCGTGGTTCCATCCTTAGAGTTACGCAGAGAAAGCATGCCAGGTGTGGTGCACCCCACATTTACCCATCCAATATACTACAAGAAACCGTCCAACGTGAGTGTATTAATACCCAATCCACGTTTACTGAACCCCCTCATGACAGGTGGCTGATTGGCTGGCCACCTGGCTGCCGGCTGCTGGCGGCTTGGCTTCGTTTGTTTGTATCCATGTCTAACTCTGTGTTGTCTCTCTCTCTCTCTATCCTCTGGCATATCTCTATCTGTACTGTCACTGTGGTCTTATCTCAGTCTCTGTCCCCGTCTCACAGGTAGACAATAAATACAAGAATACATAGTGTAAATTAATCTAGGCTGATAACCCAAAAACCCAGATCAAAGTTGCATACTCTGCTTGACGATAGAGTAAATGTGATGACGTATTCTTTTGGCACTTTCTGAGAGAGAGCTAGATGGATAGACAGACGGGAGCTTGACAACAGACAATGTTTGTGTACCAGCGAAAACAAGCGAGGGGCTGATGCTCATCTAATTCAGCTCTAATCTTACCCTGTCAAGTCATATCACCGCACCCTTGCATATGCTCATCAAATGTCTCTCTTATTTAATGTTT